TCCTGAAACTTAAGATTTGACTGTAGTCTGACAGACCAAATCTCTCTGCTATTCAGTCTAACAGGCCAAATCCAACTGATGTTCCTTTAGGCAACAACTATTAATTCATTACGTTCTATCCATCAAAAAACAATACTTACCCGAGCGTAATATGCGCAATATGTAAAAACTTTGTAACTATCATTCCGACAGGCCACTTCCTGAAACTTAAGATTTGACTATCATCCGACAGACCAAATCCCTCTGTTATTCATAACAACCTATCATCCAACAGGCCAAATCCAGCTGATGTTCACTTAGGCAACGACTATTAATTCATTACACTTATCAAAAAACAATACCTATCCAAGCATCATGTGCACAATATGTAAAAAAACTTTGTGACTGTCGTTCCGACAGGCAACTTCCTGAAACTTAAGATTTGACTGTCATCTAACAGGCCAAATCCCAGTGATATTCACTAAGGCAACGACTTTTAATCCATTACGCCCTATTGAAACTTAAGATTGGCTTTCGTGACAGGCCAAATTCTACTGATGCAATGACCATTAACTCACTATGCTCTATCTCTCACAAATAGTACCAGCATAATATGTACAAACACGCAATAATTCCTTGTGGCTGTCCACAATATGTAAAAACTTAGTGACTGTCATCCCGACAGGCCACTTCCTGAAAACTTACGATTTGACTATGTATATTCTTTATATTCAATTTTATTTACATATCGTATTCTATTCAACCAAGTTGCAAAAAATTATCTCCAATAACTCGAATGTTAACTAATCTATTAAAAGAAATCCATTCGATTACATCTTCATATTTTATGGCTTTAAATTAAAATTCTTTAATGCAATCATCGACCTCTTTAATTCCACTTGCCCATCCTTGTGTTGCCTTTCAAGGGTCCCTGTTTGACACCAAGCGGAAGATGTGTTCTATCAATCACAATTTGCATATTTTCCATATCCTCACAAGCTCCACTTTATATGACAATGCCCATGATTTGTAGTAATATCCGAATACACATCAATTTTCTACATAACATATCCAAGTCGCTAAAACTCTACCGTCAATATATTTTTGTTACTCATCAAGGAGGTGTTTCAAAAAACTATAGAACACAATTGCGGGTTGCACAAATATATATAAAAACATTTGTCACTGTCATCCTGACAGGCCGCCTGCTGAAAAACTTAAGATTTGACTGTCGTCCGATCTATCCATCACCAATAATACCGTCGTCTAATAGTCCAAATCTTTCCAATAACCACCGAGTGTAATACGTACAACTGTGACAGTTTCTAGCAATTGTTTCTCACAGATCATTCACTTCACTAATATTCCTAAAGCAGCGTCCATATCCTGCTGTGCATTAACTTATAAAATTCTCTAACAAATCACTATGTCGCTAGAGCCCATACGAGGGTGGGTAGGGTGAGACGAAAAAACTAGACAAAGTTGGGTTAGCAGAAAAAAACAGAAACTATCTTGTCCAGAAAAAAAATCCCATCCTCTTAAATATGCTTTTGTCAAGATATCACATCATTATATAACCACTCCGATAAGCTCAACGATTACCAACTGAAAATACTACGTCACTTCATCAATACATTTGCATGATCCATACTAATCATGCAATTAATCATAACCAAATCCTCTGATCAATTTACACTCCGTGTCCGATTCGTGACAAAAGGCTGCTCCGATACTTTCGTATCAGGCAGCTACATTTGTCACTCATCGAGGAGGTGTTTCAAAAAACTATGGAATACAATTACGGGTCTTTGCAGAGCATCGCCATATAGGGCTTCGATTTTTTACGTTATTTGCCTAACTATTATGAAAATCTCCATTATAGTCCCAATTCTTTTCATTCTCAACAAAACCATGGCTTTTCTAGCAGTTCATTTGCCCAACTTTAGGCGCAAGTCCAACTATCATACTGAACACTGCCTCCTGCCATATCACACAATTTTTACAATAATCTCTATAACCACAACTAGGAAGATGTGAAGCATTATATATCTATTTTCTTGCTTTCGCTAGGTACCCTTTCATTCTGCTGCCGATCATCATTATACTACCTCACATCTATTCGTCCAAGTTTACATACAGCGAAACACCTACTATCAAATTCTTCGATCCTTCACACTCAGTTAACTGATCCCAGTAAGGTTGCAAAACCTGATCCTCCTACATTGCCTGTTCTTTCAAATTCAATACTTCAAGCCTTTCGTCTAACCTACTCAAAGTCATTTATTCCACTATCATGATCCATATATAGTGCTGAAATTATTTTTCATATTTGCCCTACTTCCTCGCTGATAAAGCATCTAAGATTATCCATTCCACAGACCTGCCTTTCAGTTCTGAATCTTTTTTCACGGCCACCACGCTTAGTTGCTCGATGGGCAGCACACATTATCTCGTAAAAATTTTCGATATAATAAACTTGCGTTCCCAGGTTATTCCTATCTTGTTTTAGCAGATGCAGTTCCTCTGTTGCACCAATACGATGAACTTGAAAGTATTAACCGCCCAATATTTGAACTTCGTGTTACACTGAAGGTCTGGATTTTATAGTACATTTAAACATTCCTTATGGCGACTTCTATCCAACAAGCTTCGCTTGTTTTTTCTTTTGTTAATGAATGTCT